ATTGATCTAAACTGGAAATCAATTCCATTTTCTCAGGAAATGAAGCGCAGAATAAGCTAAGCCCTTGATATAAGCTTGGAAGGCCAATTCCTATAATTGGCACCCATGAGCTAAGGCACAGCAGATCCCAGGGTGGCTGGAGAACTTGCCACTTTGTATGAAGTATGTAGTCACTTGTCTTCCTTATAACTAGTGTACTGTAACAACTTAACTCTTTGCTTGGAGGACAGGAGTCAACTGTTAACTGTCTGCTGTTGTCTTAGAATGCTCTCTCTGAGACTTACTGAGTGTTAGTGTGTGCTGCTGACATCTCCACTGCTTCTGGCCTTCAGTGAGGACAGAACTCTAGCCTTCAGCGAGGACAAGAAACTCCTCCAGCTTGAGCCCTGGCTCACTGTCAACAAAAGGCCATGCTCAGCAAGGCAAAAGCTACTTGTAAATGCACCATTCTACCCAGACTCTGAAATGTCTGCCTTTAAAATCTAAATAGCTGAAAATTGGGCAGGGTTCAGGTTCAATTCACATGACGCTAGCTAGCACCACTAGAACCCATTATGAAATATAAGGTATTGCCCTAGACCATAAAATGTGTCTCACTTGTTTCACAATGGCCCCCATTGTTCAGGGCTCTATTGTCCTTGAGAACCTTGCAAGAGAAAAGGGTGACTTGAATGGCAGGAGCTTGCAATTCCTCTTGCAAAGACTTCAGATTTGCAAGTTGGTCAGTATAGGAGGTTGCTGCAGTTCAGTTGATATCTGTTTTGAACTTTCCTGTTTCCTGACTCATTTATCACTGCTAAGCAGCTAGGTATAAGCTGGAAGACTTCACTGTCCCATCCATCTCTACTTATCTCCATCTATGACTGCTTAATAATTGATAGAAAACGCATGAATCACCTTCACATTCCAATTTCAAAATACCAGGACTACAGATGCCCATTCTCTTGTGTTTGAAACATGCTGCTCCAAACGGGGGGACTCTGGGAGCCTAGAAAGAAGGGGACCCAGGCACAACCACAAGCTAGCAAACTTAGTGACGGCAGCCTCATCTCAAATCATGATTGACAGAAATCAATCCTTCCCAGGCCATATGACTTTCACCATAGATAAATTTACAAGATGACTCAATATTGCATTAAATTTCATTTCAATCTAATTGCACTGCTGAGTAAGAAACTAAAACCTCAAGCATTTTTCCTCCACTTTCTATATGGTTGGTGATATGGTGCACAATGACTGAGAAACAAAAGCCCCAAACAGTGACTGGGGTCAAATGTGGTTAAAGGGTTTCTAAAGGAAACCTTGTGTGGTCTGAGATTGGCTGTGCTCCCCATCTATTCGTGCTGATTTAATTTTCACAACACAGTGCCCTGCTAACCCTGTTTCTAGCTCAGTTGGCGCCGTGAAGACTGACGTTTTTTCTTTTAAAAATCAATCTGGGCACCTTACACAAGTTTCACACTAGTTATTTACTACACCAAGTCTCCATTTACCTCCACAATGAATATTGACTGGGCAGATGTATTCACAAGATGGGAGGCTTAGGGGGACAGAGGGAGTCCTGAGATTATGACCTAGTCTTCCACAGTGTCACACCAGGCTGGAGTCAGGGCAGAGCACCTGGTCAAAAGAGATGCCTGTGTGATTGGGTGACATAGGGACTGGGGTGGCATTTTGATCAAAGGGCAATGCAGCTTAGACTCAGAGAGTCCCAGAGTCCACGGGTGGAGCCACTGTACTGGCCAGGTGACTGGTACTGCCTCTGAACATCAGTCATGGTGATGGAAATGAATGGGTAATACAGTCAAGCCTTATCTTTCATCGCAAACATGTTCCAAGGATAGAGAGCCATCTGCCCAACTGTATCAGCCATCGGGCCCTGCCCAGTCAGGCCTGGGCTTTTGTTCTGATGATCAAGTCTGCTCTAAGTTGTTTTTGTATCTTCACTTCAGATAAGGATGTTGGTAAGGTTGGAAAATGTACCTCACAGCATATCACATTGGTGAAATGGTGGCAGTTGCTAGGTTTCTCTAGAAAAAAAAAAGTAGGAGCATCACTATAGGTGAGGTGTTTTGAGTCATTGGTTGTGGGGGCATCAGGAGAATGGACATGCATACCTTTCCTAGCCTTCTTAGGGATCTCTAGTTACACTGGCTTTGTGGGTCATTAAGCAAATGGGGAGTTCTAGGACTTTGCATGGGAATTAATTACTCCTGTCTCTATGAGATTTCGGTCTTCTTTCCCAGCCTTGGTTCTCACTCTTAAGTCAGCACCCATGTTTTCAAGTCAGCATTTCTTGGGTAAGCTTTGGTAATTGAAATAGTGCATTATTGTCCAACAAGAGGCAAGATATATGCTACATTCTTGCTGTTTCCCCTCTCCCTCTACACTTCCTCTCTAACACAGATTTGATTTCTGTGACTTGAACAGTGTCTGGGGAAATGGAATCCTTTCTCCTTAGTTGGAGTATCAAAAATTGTGTCCACACCGGTTTAAACTTCAACCTGAGGCTAGCCTTCCTTTCACAGCGAACTACAAGTAGAAATGTCCATTAGTTTCATTCCTAAGGATCATATCACACTTGTGTCCTTAGTTAACAGTGTGTACAGCATTGCAATTGACAGCATTAGCTGACATAGTATGCAATGTAGAGATGCTTTCTGGGTTGCTGTTACTCAGTGCTTCTCCTTTGTCTACTTTCCACAGTTCAACCAAAGAGGCTGAAAAGACTGGATATTGCTTATTCTTGTTTGTAGCTAGGTGACCAAGACCTGACCACTGAGATTAAGAGAAGTGTTCACAGGGTAGACTGAAGATTGTGAGGGAAGTTTATTTTTCTAAATTCATTTTTAATATTTTTAATCATGTGTGTATGTGCATGTAAGTTCAGCTCCCTACAGAAGCCAGAGGCAT